CTTCTCTAAATTTCAAATTAAATGCAAAAACGGGGTGCCCAAAGTTCAATAAATAACCCTGTAGTTGTTTCGTGACTTCTTAGACTAAATTTACAAAATAAAGCACTTATCTACACATTTTCTATTTTTTCTAATTTTGACTAATGCAATTGGAACCTTGCAATCCTGCTCAATTTATTAATATCATAATTTTACTAGCTTTACAGTGACAGTTTGTTTGGAAGAGCAATACTAAAGCATGCTGATCTTCAATCTGCTTACACACCCGTATATCTTTATCAGTTCTCGTACTATGGAGCACGTCATGTCATGGAGCCCTTCATTGATGGTAAGTGAATTAAATATTATAATGCTTGATTTCAGAATTTATATGATCATTTGTTTGGAATGTTTTAAAATTCTGGAATTGCTATCGGGAAGGTAGTAAGGTGTGTCACTATGCTGTGTTATATGTTTAGGTGCTGAAAAGGTAGCCCATTCTTCCGATCTTCCTTACCTATTTTACTGGCCTCGATCGGCCCAAGCTGAAGATTTATTGGTACAGAATAGGCTCGTCAAACTCTGGACCAACTTTGCTAAATATTTGTAAGTTACCATATGCGACCAAATTATCAATAGTACACGTTAAGGTTTTAGAAATCCAACTCCGGAGGAATCTGCACTATTCAACAATGTAATTTGGACTCCACATACTGAGGAAAATTCAATTTATTTAAATATTAATACTACACTAGAGTTAAACACTCATTTGAAGGAAAGAACAATGGCAGGTTGGGCCGAAATATTCGAACTCTATGGCAAAAAACCTTTAATTACATATTAAAACACGTAATGTGTTTTTGTACAGTTGTAAAATACCAAAATCAATTCCGTTGCAGAATATAAATATTGTGCTTACAGTTTGTTTATGAAAATTATTTACAAATGATGCAAATAAATATATTGAGACAATTTGCGTTTTCCTTAAATAATGATTAATTTACTATACGGAAAACATTTTTATTTAGCATCAACCTAAAAGTACGATAACCTCTAGAAGTTATAAAATGAGCCAAAAATTACGTTTTTTTTGTTATATGTAAGAGTAAAAGCCCATTTATAAACTTGACGTTTGCGTTCGCCGTTGCCGTTTGCGTCCAAATTAATAGAAAAGTCCAAAAAATAAGAGTTTATTAGTATGTATTCCAATAGTCACGCAGCCAAGTCAGCTTCGGGCCAATCGTATATTATTTACATAAAAGAACGTTTTGGCAAATTATGAATCTGAGGCGAGGACGAAAATATGTTAGTAATTTAAAAAAGTATAATATTTTTAATTTTGCACCTCTCGAATCAAAATTTTGCTTTACAAGAAAACCACATAGTCACATAGATAGACAAACATTAATTGACGGCTTAATGTTATATCAATAACACTCTATGTTCAACTTGGAAATGCCCTGCCTTGCCTCAAACCGACCATCAATAAATTCCTGCCTGCATTCGACCTTACGCAGAAATTTGACGAAAATGACATGAAATAATTGCTTTATTCGCGGTAGCGATTCAGGATCGGCTCGAAGCTATAACGAACCGGATTAGAATGCAGGCTCGGTTCAGGATCTGTGCAGAACCGATCCTGATTCCTTCGTTCAGCGAACGCTGTTAGAACCAGCTTTTAGTAGTATCAACCAACAGGATTTTAGTACCTTGTTTTTTTTTCGGTGAGGTTTGGTAAATGCTCTTTTATGCACTCCTAGAGCTGGTGGTCTGTCGCTCTGGGTTGTGTGGGACTCCAGCTAAGCTATTTACCCACTAAAACCCTTTCCATACCGCCAAGGTGGTGTTTTGCCTTGCATCGCGGTCATTTTTGCCCCATTGCGCCCTCGTATTTTACTCCCTCATTATCCCTGTGTATTCAATAAATTCCAGAACAATCTTGGGGGGGGGGAGGTACGACGCATGACCTAGTCTGGTAGTCATCCCTGGCTGCAGCTCGTCGATTTTCCCAAGCAGGTGCCTCTTTATGAGTTCTCC